GATTTCTCAAAAAACTAATGTAAATTTTAAAAGTACTAATAATATTGCGCACTATTATGCGCTTTTTTATTTCGCGTTCACTTGGTGTGCAATTAATTTGTCTACGAGATTTTATTCTATTTTTAAAACTTTAAGTATTTAAAATGGATTAAAAATCATGTCTATAGCCCGAGTTCCCATCCCCTGTTATTTTATATAAAAATATTCGAGAAAGTTTAGGGGAGATCACTCCCGGTTTATTTTTCAAGTGTTTTAAAAAAATATCTATTTTTAGCTCGGATTAGTTTCAGGAGGAAATATACGAGCAGTATAAAATATTTTAGAAATGTAACGAGGTTTAAAAAAAAAAAAACGACCCAAAATGCAAGTCTGGCGCCAACACGGCATCAGCGTTCCATCCTCGGGGCCACTAATGGGTTCGTTAAAACTCTGCCTTCATTATTCAAACTTTGCGGGGAGACAACCGGCTTCCGGTTAAGAAGAAAGACAAGGTAATCGGCGCTGAAAGGCTCAAGTGCTGGGGGTTTGAAACTAAAATGGGATGTTTACAGCAGGTGGTGGTGTTTTTTAACTAGGTGTTAGTGGGGGGGGGGGGGGGGGTTAGTGCCTGGAGTCAGGTCCTGTACACGTGTATGTGAAGATTGACACGTGATCAGGTGCGCACGGAAAATATGAGCAGGTTGTACGACGTTCGTTAGGTAATAAGAGCTGGTAGCGTTGTCGTGGTAGAAGAACTCAAGTACCCAGTTTACAAGTTACATTGGCTTTGGGAAGTAAGGGGGATGATGTGGCTGAACGGTAGAGCGCTTGGCTGCTAACCCGAAAAGTCTTGAGTTCGGGTCCCGGGCTCAAGTCTGTAGGACTTTTCTGATGGGTACCTGCCTTACGTGTATGGAAACATTTGGCTGGGCATAGTGCTGTCCACACTATCTTCGAGGCTTCGAGCCAGTGAAATAGATGAGCTCTACTTCATCATCCCTGAATGTATTTAGCACGAACGGAAAATGTGAAGTAGAGTAGGCTGTAACCTGTTTATACCTCGAGATCTGTGTTTGTGTGGTTAGGATTAGGATTAGGATATAGAACAGATCGTGAGAGGGAACACTCTTAACATATCCCAAACATAAACAAGATTAATAGAGTCACTATACTAACATAGAAATCTGCCTGCCACATAGAGTTAACTTTTGGGTAGGTGCAGTAGAGTAGAGACATCTGTATCTCTAGCCAAAGCATCTAAGGTTGTGGCTGGGGAGGACACAGAACCGATCGAAGGATGAGGGAAACTTGCTACTGATCTTAAATTAAACATAAATAGAGCGAATAGTTCCATCCTGCTCTCGCAGAAGACTATCCTATCACAAGCAAAATTCACTCGAGGCATTATTGCATACTTCTACTCGGTTAATTACGATTCAAAGATTCCTATTGCAGAACATTAATTAACAACAAGGGGTCGGCGTGGTCGAGTCGTTAAAAGCTCATGGTGGCTAAAACGAAAAGTCTCGAGTTCGAACCCTCTGGCAGATGAGGCTCGTTAGCTGGGGACAGCCACTCTTCTAGGAGAGGCAACTCCAAAATCAAACAAATGCTACCTTGTAGTTTGTTCTTAGTTGGGCAAAGGCTATGGAACCAAATCCAAAACGAAAAGCAGGCTGAAATCGGAGGCAATGGCCTCAATAGCGCATAACTATTTGACACGTATACTTAATTGTGTTGGAGGGGATCCCTTCCAACATTAAAATTAAGAACGAAGAAGAAGAAGAATTAACAACAATACAATGAAGATTTAAACACAATCGATTTACTTAGTAAATAATGTTTAATTAAGAAACAACTAACTACTTGTATTTTGAATGACCCACACCTTAGAATAAAAAACAAAGAAGATTTCCTCATAAAAAAGATCTTACTCTCTCTTCTTATAACCAACAATATGGCCACTGACGTACCCTTGCTGATTTCTATTCTTCGCTGTATCAGATAAGGCGAAGAGCACCAGCCCCTAGGTATCGCCAGACACGGGTCTATCCGTCCAATCACGCCACACAGGTGGGGGAGTGGGGGGGATGACATTACCGATGGACTTCACAGGGTGAGATTAAACACCAGGCGTCAGGCGGTACTCACGCCCCACAGGTGGGGGAGTGGGGGGATGACATTACCGATGGACTTCACAGGGTGAGATTAAACACCAAGCGTCAGGCGGTACTCACGCCCCACAGGTGGGGGAGTGTGGGGGGTGACATTACCGATGGACTTCACAGGGTGAGATTAAACACCAGGCGTCAGGCGGTACTCACGCCACACAGGTGGGGGAGTGGGGGGGATGACATTACCGATGGACTTCACAGGGTGAGATTAAACACCAGGCGTCAGGCGGTACTCACGCCACACAGGTGGGAGAGGGGGGGGATGACATTACCGATGGACTTCACAGGGTGAGATTAAACACAAGGCGTCAGGCGGTACTCACGCCACACAGGCGGGGGATTGGGGGGGATGACATTACCGATGGACTTCACAGGGTGAGATTAAACACCAGGCGTCAGGCGGTACTCACGCCCCATAGGTGGGGGGAGGGGGGATGACATTACCGATGGACTTCACAGGGGGAGATGAAACACCAGGCGTCAGGCGGTACTCACGCCACACAGGTGGGAGAGGGGGGGGATGACATTACCGATGGACTTCACAGGGTGAGATTAAACACCAGGCGTCAGGCGGTACTCACGCCCAGGGTCAAGGTGTGAACGCCCACGCACCAGGTTCTCACCTGGACACACCTGGGACCAATCTTATCTTTACCCTGCCTGGCTGGGTTCTTTCAAGTCTGACCCTTACCATGCTGTATACAGGATATCTAATCTCTCTCATTACAATGTATTAGGAAAATGAATTCCTATCGCTGATCGTGCTGTATCAAGGATATATAATGGAACCTTTCTAATATTTACTTGACAGTATACTATTATCCTTTTTTTTCACTTATCGATCAGACTCATTATCTTTTGCCTTCGCTCAATAGATTTTATCAAATAATAAGTGAGCTTAATCCCTGTATATATATATATGGCTACAGGACATTACCCCCCTGGATATTTCCCCCCCCGGACATTTCCCCCCCGTATTTACCCCCCCGGAGCAATTACCCCCCTGTCAATTACCCACCCGGGGAATTACCCCCCCCCCCCCCCCCCTCAAGTTAAAATCCTAACTCTAAGTAGAATTTTATACCTATATACTACTTTAATCCAAACCTTAAGAAAAAGACCTAAACCTCAGCATCCACCATAGCCTCAAACTTCACACAAAACCAAAACTAAAGCTAGACACAACCCTAACCCTAACACTAGCTCTAACCCTAACCCTAGCCCTAACCCTAATCTTAACCCTAACCCTAACCCTAGCCCTAGCCCTAATCCTAATCCTAACCCTAGCCCTAGCCCTAACCCTAACCCTAGCACTAAAACCTAACCCTAACCCTAACCCTAACCCTAGCCCTAACCCTTACCCTAACCCTAACCCTTACCCTTACCCTTACCCTAGCCCTAACCCTAAACCTAGCCCTAGCCCTAACCCCAATCCTAACCCTAAACCTAGCCCTAACCCTAACCCTGTCCGGGGGGTAATGTCCTACTGGGCGGGGGGTAATTGACAGGGGGGTAGTTGACAGGGGGGGGTAATTACTCTGGGGGGTAATGTCGGGGGGGAAATATCCGGGGGGTAATTGACAGGGGGGAAATGCCCTGTTCCCATATATATATATATATATATATATATATATATATATATATATATATATATATATATATATATATATATATATATATATAATGACCCGCCAATTGATCAAAGACGACAAGTATCAACAATACAATATACATTTTTTACATGCTGAATCGAAAGGTGACACAAAAACAACAACGGAAAAACCCTAACAAAACGGATAAACCCGAAACTTTTTACTTTGCTACCGGCGGTGTAGACTATCCAGTCCCCGATGTTTACCATGGCACAGTATTCGCCTGTGTCGTTAACTGTCTGTGGGCTAATCAAGCGAAAACACCTGGCAAATCAACACGTAGGTCGCTCGCCCGGACATCGACGCCATAGACTAACAATGTCAAAACGTTCACATTATCCTTCTCGCGGCTTACCCGTGTTTAAAATGTCACATGGGGATGGTTTTGGTGTATTAAGGAATATTAATTGTAATCTAGCCAGAGGCGTAGCGACCCTTCCCGGCGCCCGGGTACAAACTTTCAATTTGGCGCCCCATTCGGGAGCAAATTTTCAATTTGCACCCCCCTCAACTTTTTGATTTGCACCCCACACCCCCTGAAACTTTCGATTTGCACCCCTCCCCCCTAAAACTGCAAAAAATGCAGCTAAATTGACATTTTAATTTGTTATTACAACCCATTTTGGCGCCCCCTAAGGTTGGCGCCCGGGGACATATGTCCCCCCCTGCCCCCCCCCCCCCCCCCCCCCCATCACTACGCCTCTGAATCTAGCATACCTGCGGCGAATAATCTTAACTTGTTTAACCCCATCCAATTATACCCGGGCTGTGAATCTCAAAGTTTTTTTTTAGCGAAGAAAAGCTTTTGATTTTATTTACATACTGACATACCTTAACAACCGCATTAAAAGTTGTGTTAATGTTTAAGTTTCTAAAGTGTTCCTTACAAAATTTTCCATCATGTGAAATGGTAACTTTCGACTTCTTTTTTTTTTTTTTTTTCTTTTTTTTTTTTTACTAGTGAAGTTGCATTCTGCCATCTTTATTAACGAATCTTAGCTGTATGTGTACATCCAAGTTGCCTTCTTTCAAGCTAATTAGTATTTTCTTTTCCCAACACAACATACCAAAATACAGAAATTACTTCCTACTACATAAAAATACTGGTACTTTTTGTTTACAAAGTACTAGCGCGGTACGTGTTTTAGTACAACAAACAAGGAACTACTCATCACAACAACAATATGATACTCACTCTTTTGTAAATCCTTCTCCTGAACCGAGTCCTCCTTCTCTGAAATCTCCTCCTTCACCCTCTCCTCCTTGCTATCATCCTCCTCTTCCGTATCATCCGGGTTGATCTGCGCGCTGATCTTGTTTCTCTCCTCTTCATCGATCTCCAAGCTCCGGTTATCAAAATCGTCGTCCTCGTCGTACTCTTTGCTGCACTCGGAGGGCGTCCGGCTCAACAGGTCTTCGTCGTCGGCGGTCTCGCTGTCGTCGTCGTCATCGTCGGCGCTGCCGTTGGTCTGTAGCACTAGCGAGAGTGGCTTTGGTTCGGCGAGCCAGTAGGACATTATAGCGAGGCGGCTGGGAACTTCATCGAGGGGAAGTGGCCCAGCTAGGTGCGCATTGTCTTTTGGGAGGTCAATCAGCTCTGGATAGACACTCGTCGTCTAGAGGGAGACGAATCAGCTCCGGTTAGACAAAAATCGTCTAGAGGGAGACGAATCAGCTCTGGTTAGACATTTATTGTCTTGAGGGAAACGAATCAGCTCCGGCTAGACAAAATCGTCTAGAGGGAAATGAATCAGCTCTGGATAGGCACGATAGTCTAGAGTGAAGCGAACCAGCTGTCTAGACGCAAGTCGTCCTCAGCATAGCGTCCTTGCCACAAAGGCTATCGAATCCAAAACCATCATCACGACTCCACTGGTCAAGTAACTTAATCTCCACAAATATCAATATCATCACACAAGCAATAGTTCTGTTCACCTGATTTTCACTCGAATATCACAACTATTCACATGTTTCATGTTCCAACTAAAACAGCAAATCACAGATCATTAAAGATACGCTAAAATCTAAACTGTGCGTTTCTATTGAAACACAGACACGCAATACATTGAAAATCACAATACCGCGCACCAAATGAACCAGGTACGTAAAGTGACCATCTTGTCCAACACACAAAAAAGTAAAATTAGCAAGGGTGGCTAACTCCCAATGTATTTGGGAGGGGGGGGGAATCTTTAAATGTACTAATTTCTATTAAACAGATGCTCTTTTAAAATATAACACGATTGGCCTATTTCAATAGTGGTAATATCTTGAACGTATGCTCAAGATTAAATAACAATGCGGTTATGTAATGTATATATATATATATATATATATATATATATATATATATATATATATATATATATATATATATATATATATATTCGAAAGAAACTGATACTAGTACTCAAGACCAAAGAAAAAATTACAAACTATAATACACTTGGATTAGTAAAAGGCTGTGTTTTTAAAAAGTTGATATAGTAGAGACAAGCTTATTTTGGTTCTAACATCATTCGAGTATATGCCCTACACACAACAAATCCCATTTTTTATATTTTTAAATCATGTTTCTTTTGTTTAATAAAATAAAACAAAAATATTATGTAAACAAACATATTTCGGCCTTGTTTAACCCTAAACTAGTCACTGAAGAAGAAATACACCGTACGGAAACAAAGACACACGAAATCCCCCACCTGATAGAGTCGATATCACGGTGTAGTCACCACAAAGACGGTATCAAAGAGAAAGATCACATCAACAGCCCTTTCACCCACCTCGTCCACACGAAATGTCTCCACTCTTTGAGCCCTTGATAGAAAAATGCGCGGACGTTCCGGCCGTGATATAAACATAGGTCGCACGGGGAAGAATTCCTTCAGATGTGCGCACCTACACCGACGCTATCTTTCGCGTACGGTGCGAAATCAACCACGAGTACGCATGCACGGTAACATATTTTGTAACATAAACAATTGAATCTCCAACGTAGAAAGAAAAGTAAGAGTACAAGACAATTTTGTAAGAGTTATACGGCCCTGACATTCGGCAACAATGGAGGGAATTCGCGCCCCACTGCGTAAATACACGGAGTTACACAATGGTTCTCTGTCCCTGTTTTCCACAAATTATCGCCCCTTGTTTACGCAAGTTGTCCGCCCATGCAGATTAATCAGCAAGGTAAGGGAAAGAAGAAGAAGGGACGTCCGGAATAAAAAGCTCCGAGGACCGCGTGCAAACGTTTTAAATTGAACTTCAAAGCTTTAAAAAAAATTAATTTTTTTTTAGAAAAACTTTCTGGAAACCTCAGGTGTGTAAAACGCATGCGGGGGGGGGGGGGGGGGGAAGGGGTGAAGAGGAGGGGAGCGGACAGGAGAGGCGTAAAGTGCACGCAATAATTGCCCTATTGTACTAGCGTACGTGGGTATGAGAGTCCAAGCGAGTTCTCTGTTGAAACAGAAACCACCCGCGTGACATGCGTCGAGAACATCAAAAGACTAATAGAGGTCATTATTACCTAACAAATCGGGTCGACAAAGCGAGTGTTACGCCGCTTTGTTGTTGTCCCACCCCACACTTCGCACCGCGGCGGCGCGAACAATCGGGAAAATCCGATTCTTTCAGAAGGTTTCGCACACATGAGGAAAAGAGAGAGACATTTGGCTTTGAACGCCGAAGCACACTCTCCCGCGGGGCGTAAAAGGCAGGCTTTTGTTGTTTAAATACGTCTGATAATAAAGATGTGCTAGAGTCGGATTGTAGGTGCGGTGGGGAGAGGGGGTAGTCTGACGGGAAAGAGGGGGGGGGGGGGGTCAAGGAGAGGTGGGAATCAACGTAAGCAGCGAAGCACACCCACACACACAGAGGTGTATGGTCCAACAAAGCAATACAAAGACTCCTCCCCTATCAGATAAGATGGGTGGATAGGTAAACAGGTCGACTTAGCTTGACAAGGTTTTAAAAATCAATGCTAAAACACTAACACCACACATTCTGGTTAAAACCATGGCAGCTAGATTCAGCAATTTAACCAACCCTACACAAAGATGTATTCAGCCATAACACAAACCATATGAGTACCTGAGATGCCTGCAGCCATAAAACGAGTACCTGCCTGCAGCCATAAAACGAGTACCTGCCTGTAGCCATAAAACGAACCACAACAGTACCTGAGATGTATGCAGCCATAACACACCATTCAAGTGCCTCAGATGCCTGCAGCCATAAAACGAGTACCTGCCTGCAGCCATAAAACGAGTACCTGCCTGCAGCCATAAAACGAGTACCTGCATGTAGCCATAAAACGAGTACCTGCCTGCAGCCATAAAACGAGTACCTGCCTGTAGCCATAAAACGAGTACCTGCCTGTAGCCATAAAACGAGTACCTGCATGTAGCCATAAAACGAGTACCTGCCTGCAGCCATAAAACGAGTACCTGCATGTAGCCATAAAACGAGTACCTGCCTGCAGCCATAAAACGAGTACCTGCCTGTAGCCATAAAACGAGTACCTGCCTGTAGCCATAAAACGAGTACCTGCATGTAGCCATAAAACGAGTACCTGCCTGCAGCCATAAAACGAGTACCTGCATGTAGCCATAAAACGAGTACCTGCATGTAGCCATAAAACGAGTACCTGCCTGCAGCCATAAAACGAGTACCTGCATGTAGCCATAAAACGAGTACCTGCCTGCAGCCATAAAACGAGTACCTGCCTGTAGCCATAAAACGAGTACCTGCCTGTAGCCATAAAACGAGTACCTGCATGTAGCCATAAAACGAGTACCTGCCTGCAGCCATAAAACGAGTACCTGCATGTAGCCATAAAACGAACCACATGAGTACCTGAGATGGCTGCAGTCATAACACGAACCATACGACTACCTGCCTGCAGCCATAACACAAGCCATACAAGTACCTAAGATGCCTGCAGCCATAACACAAGCCATACAAGTACCTAAGATGCCTGCAGCCATAAAACGAACCATATTAGTACCTGACATGCATGCAGCCATAACACAAGCCATACAAATACCTAAGATGCCTGCAGCCATAAAACGAACCATATTAGTACATGACATGCCTGCAGTCATAACACGAATCATACAAGTACCTGCCTGCAGCCATAAAACGAACCATATTAGTACCTGACATGCCTGCAGTCATAACACGAATCATACAAGTACCCGCCTGCAGCCATAAAACGAACCATATTAGTACATGACATGTCTGCAGTCATAACACGAATCATACAAGTACCTGCCTGCAGCCATAAAACAAACACAAGCGCCTGAGATGCCTGCAGCCATAAAACCAGTACCTGCCTGCAGCCATAAAACGAACCACATGAGTACCTGAGATGGGTGCAGTCATAACACGAACTACCCAAGTACCTGCAAGGCATCTGGCTGTACCCATAACACTAACCTTGAGATGGCTTGTTATCTAACTCACGGCAGTAAACCCGGTTATGGTTTAGATTCATTGTCAGAACCAACAAAAGATAAAGCTTAAGCCGGGTGTACCTGTCTAGAGTAAATCGCTGATACAGCATGTGATATTGGCCTAAGGCTAAGATGAGGACGGAGTTACTTCCAGAAACTACAGCAGGCATTTAGAAGTGCTTCGAGCGGATTTCGATGCCCAAGAACCAAGACATACACGTATATCAGAAAAGTCCGGCAATTTTCAACCTTATGAAACATAATTCTAACACACAACCCCACCCCCAAACCCTCCCCCCTTCCGACATACACAGCCCCTTCCACCAACCTCCCCCCAACACACTGAGAGATAGAGAGACAATGTGAAGTTTTTTGGTACCAACAAGCTATAGCCACTATTCATCAAACAATTAAGCTAAATTAATATTCAATTACACTTTATTACACCAATATATACTTATCTAAAAACAGACCTGTGCCATACCTGTGTCACCCCTCACCACCCCCTCACATAATCATCGCGTAAATTGACTTAAATCATCAAACACTGATAAATTGTAACTTCTAGGCTACTGACATATTAAACAAAAATTTCCCATAGTTCAAGGGTCGATCTTACTTGAGCTAGAAGTTATCATGAATCTTTGGCTATAGGCACATAAACCTTTTTACCTGAAGGTCAGAGAGGGAGAGAGAGAACTACAAGTGTGAGAGAACGAGAGAGCAAACGAGAGCCATCATTGGGGAGCGAAAATAGAGTTAAAAAAAAAAAAGATCTTCCTAACAGCCAGTGTAAGGTTTCTAAATGAGATTTCCATTCAGACTAATTTTTGCTGACGTGTACGCAGGGGGGCAGTAGGGGGAAAGCCTCTTCTATTAGGTGGAGTATGAGAGGGGGGATGTGTGGGGGGAGGGGTTGCGTTGCTAGAAAGGAGGTGAAGACAGGAGCTGGGGAAAAAAAAAGGGGGGGGGAGGGGTTGGATAATAGCTTATAATTATTTTTGTGTGTGGAAATTTTTGAAACAGGCAGTGTTTTACTTGTCTCTTTTTCTTCGAGATTTTTTTTATTTTAATTTAAAAACAAAAAACATTTTTTCTGTCGAAAGAGAAGATGGACAGAGTTCAACACTGGA